TGACCCAGAGGTCGTTCACTGATGGCAGGATGCTTTGGAGGACGGAAGCAAGACTTGAGTAAGAAAATCTTTCGTAGTCTGCGGGGTGGAAGCGAAAGGTGCGTAGGTTGACCATGGTCTTCATATGTATGGAGAGACTGACGAGAAGTTCGTTCCTCCCCATCCTTTGCACCAGCTCCCTGTCTCTTTCGCTGTCAGGCACATCAAAAACGACGCCGCCAACTCCGCCATAGAAGTAGAGTTCTTGAATGTGTGCGGGGAGTTTGGGGTTATTTGGTGGTAGGTGAAGAAGGATCAGATCTTTTGGGCTTGGTAGGATGTGATATGGACCTCACGGACCAATGCCCGCTGCCATACTGAATACCACCACTTGCACGCTGTGGGTGATGGGAGTGGCTCATGGGCCCAGGAAGGAGGACGTGCGAGAAATAGGATGTCCTCAATGATGAAAGGAGGGAGGGAGGCGAGAGGGAAGGAAGTAGAGGAGGTCATAGCGAAATGCGGGGACGGGTCTTCTTCGTGGACAGATCTATGTGGAGGTCGAGTTGACTACAATAGAAGTCAGCTTTCCATGGCAGAAAAGCCCGATCAGGATTCAGATCCACATCTGATTCTCGGGTGACGTCGAGACGTCGCGTCTTGTCTTGACCTGCTTATTTACCCAGCTTTTTACCATACTTATCAAGACCTTTTCAGCGTCGAGTCGACACTCGTTTCTCTGGCCACACTTAACCCCCATAAGGAAGCGCTTATGGACAACGACATCTTCTGGGACTATGTCCTTGGTCGAAATCTGACAAAACGAAAGTCACCACACCTCCCACCGGAGCTCTTGTCCAAAATCTTCATCTACATCCTGCACTCCTCCGACCCCATCACGCAATATACTTCGACGTCCCCATACCACGTCGAACACAGAGCTTCGATCCGCCTAACGCTTCACTCAGCGTGCCTAGTGTCGAAGAGCTGGTACTTCCCTGCGGTCGAAGCGTTATGGCACGAACCGGAGTTGTTTGGGTTTAAAGATTTTGAGTTGTTACTGCGATCCTTCCAGAATGACAACGGGGACGCTCAACACCGTCTTGCTAGTGAAAGAGAATCGATCAAAAGCAAAGGGAAGGGAAAAGGCAAAGACAAAGGGAAGGGACGGGCGAACGATGAGAAGGGCAAAGCAGCGGTGAAAACAATACTGCCAAATCCTGTGGGAAGAACCGGTCACCCCTCCATCCGCCGTCTATCCTTCGCTCTCCTTCCCCTTCTCCCATCATACGTCTCCTCGCGTCACATCACAACCCTAACAAACCACCCACCACCCATAACTCATCTAACCCTCGCCAATTGTCGCACGCTTGGGGATGACGACTTGCTCCCTCTTGTCACCCTCCTCGCACCCCGCCTCGTTTCCTTGGACATAACCAACTGCCTTAGAGTCACCGATCTTACACTCGAAGTTCTAGCAGCCTTCTGCGGGCCATGGAAACGGCTAAATCGAGTCGTCACTCGTGGGTGCGGGCATATTGGTGACGCAGGAGTGGTCCGCTTGGGCCAGGAATGCGGGGCCGGGATTGAGGTCTTGGATGTTACCAACTGCTGTCGGATTAGCGATAGTGGCATGCTAAAATTTTTACGAGCTTGTCAGAAGGGACTTGTAAAGGAAGCTCGGAAGCGCGTGCTCAATCCTAATGCAGTCTCAGCCCTACAAGATGATGACGACAGTGACGCTGAGGAGCCTATCAGCAGCACCCGCCCATCAGTCAAAGGAACTGCTCTAACTCCTCATCGTGGCAAATTGACCGAGCTGAAATTTGCTGGTTGCAGGAAGTTCACTCGCTCAGGTATGGAATGGGAAATTGGTGAAGAGAAGATTACGTGGGAAAGCCCGACTAAGCTCAACTCCTACATTCCACTCATCATCGCAGGTTTCGAATGGCTGTTACAAACACTCAAATCCGACCATCCCAACCTCCAACACGTAGAAGTATCCATCCCCGTCCCCGCAAAAGGCGCCGCAAACCCAACCTACGTCACCTTCCCCCACCGCCTATTCCCCGCAAACCTCAAATCCCTGACCTTACACCGAGCCAAGTACCTCACCTCAGCACACATCATATCTCTAACAGATCATCTGAAAAACCTCGAGGATATCTCCATCCAGAATTCCTCGGGCGCGGGACGGGAGCTGATGCAGACGTGGTTGGGGCCGGGACGGGATGCGTTTGTGTACCTTGTTACGAGTCGGGCGGGGCGGTTGAGGAAGGTGGAGTTTACTTGGTTCCCGACGGTTGGGGATGAGGTCGTCAAGGCTTTGGGGGACTGGTGTGAGGGATTGAGGGTTTTGAAGGTGCAAGGGGGGACGGTGACGGATGTTGGCGTTGGGTACTTGTGTGGGAGGTGGGTTGAGAATGATGGGGAGGCGTCGGTTGCTGTTGCGGAGGGTGGACAGGGGAGCGGGGTGGAGGGTGATGAGGGAAGTGGGGTGAAAGCGCCGAAGCTGAAGGGATGCTGGGAGTTGGAAGTGGTTGATTTGAGTCATAATATTGCGGTCACGATGAGGGGTGTGGAGCTGTTGAGTGCAGGATTGTGTAGGCCGCTTGGGAAGTTGGAGTGGATCGATGTTACGGCGACAGCGGTTAGGCCTTCGGAGGTCTGGGGGGTTGTTGATGCGGTGGGGAGGGAGGATTTTGAGGGGTTGATTACTGAAGATTCGGAAGATAGTTCAGAGGAGGAAGAGGAGGAGGAGGAAGAAGAGGAGGACGAGGACGAAGAGGGAGATGCTGAAGGGGAGGAGGTGGAAGAAGAGGACGTGGAAGAAGAGGACGTGGAAGAAGAGGAGGGAGAAGAGGAGGGAGAAGAGGAGGGAGAAGAAGAGGAGGAAGAGGAGGAAGAGGAGGAAGAAGAAGAGGAAGAGGAAGAGGAAGGGGACGAAGAAGACGACGACGAAGAAATGGAGGAGGTGGAGGAAGAGGCGGAAGGGGGAGAGGAGATTCAGGACGACAGTCAAGAGGAAGCTAACGAAGAACAACTCACCAACCCTCCAGAACCCCCCTCATCCCCCGACGAAGACACAGTAATGCAAGATGTCGGCCCACTCCAAAGGCCTTGCCCATACCGACGCGATGGTTTCACTGCTGAACTTAAGAAGCCCCAACCAGAGTCCAAAGTCCCCCAGCTGTCCAAAACCCTCCAGCATGCACATATGACGGAGATGCTGCCGGTGTCGGTGGGGATGGAGAACAGTCCTTTGACGACTAACAAGCTTGCGAGGGTTGATGTTGTTATTCGGGGGAGGAGTTTGGAGTGTTTGGCGAGAAGGGGGCGGTGGAAGGGGTTAGGGATTTCGGGGATGGATGGGTGAGGGAGGGTGTGAGGAGAGTTGGGGAGTAGGAGAAGGAAATTGGTATTATAAATGCTGTGTTATAGATTTTGAAGTCTCATTTGAAAAATTCACCTTGCATAGGTTGTGCAGCTGATCCGAACCAAAGCTTGTGTTGTTGAACGTATTTTGACGGTTGTGGGGTGCGCCTCAGAGAAAGATGAATATCACATTCATGTAGTTGACAATTTTGATACCTTGAAGAAGTCAATGACCCAGAGGCACTGTCGAGGGCCCTTGGCAAAGGTGGTGGTGGTATGCATCTCCACCAGTTTGCAAGGCGGACATGTCAACGCCAGTTATCTCATATGATTTTCTCACCGCTACTAGCAAGATTGCGTCACGGCCTATTGATCAAACACCAATGATTCAAGGATTGGAGAAGACCTGCTTCACCATCGAGTGGGTATATTCTATGCTGGTGTACAAATGTGAAAATCGCCATCGTCTGCAGCTTTATATAATTACGTGCTATCTATCCCCTGTAAATACCTTTTCTGGAGCATCTACCTTTGAGGAGATAATCATCACCCTAGGTTCCGACTCTCCCAGCGCTATCCGTGCCTTCTCTTTTGCTACCACTACACTATCACTGTCACTTGCAGTACTCCCGACTGAACTCTCCCGTCCTTCCTCCACTGATGCCTCCTTCTCCTGTGCAACTTTCTTCCCTGCTATTCCGTCATATATGCCAGTTCCCATTCCGGAGAGACAGGAGACTGCAACGAGGATGTAGAGAGGCGTACCAGGTCGGACGGTTGATTTGAACCCCCACATCATGACGTTGATGGGTATTTGGAGGAAGGTGTGGAGGTGGCAGAAGAAGAGGAATTTAAGAAAACCGGTGTTGTAGGGGTCAGCGTGGATGTAACATTCTTTCATTCGTTTCACTGCTTCCCGATATAATACCACATCCTTCCCCCGTAACGTCTCACACCCTTGCGCAGCCTTTACTTGTCGTCCGTGGGCTCTTCGTGCTCGGATGAACCAATAGGAGACGCGGAATCGACGCGGGCATTCGGTGAGGATTAGGTATGTGAAGAGGGCTGTGACGATTTGGGAGTTTACTTCTACCCAGACTACGGAGGGTTGGACCCAGTTTAGGAGACCAGCTGTGAGGAGGGAGCCGGAAACGGGGCTTACGATAGCGAGGAGGAGGATGTTGAAAGTTGTGAAGGGAGGGAGAGAGAGGAAGGAGGTTAGGAGGGCGCGGAGGTTGGGTTTTTGGCAGGGCATGGCTGGTCGTGTTGGTGGGCTATGTGATCAGTGGGAAGCTGCTGTGTCAAGATGGAGAAGAAAAGTTAGCAAAGAAATGGAGCTCTATGCCGTGTATTATCATGCTGCGTAATGGGTCGTTTTCTTCTGGACTTCAAAAGGGGCGAGGAAAAAGAACACAAGGATAGGGTAAGACACTGGCGAAACCTGGAAGGAACCCTTCTGATGCAACTATGTGGCACATTTGTGGCACATTCACCCTGAAAAAGCCACCTATACACTGTACGGAGTTTTTGAGGCTCCGCAACAAGCTCCGTATTCAGCCGTCACTGGTCAGATCCACAGGGAAGCTAAAATTAAGCCACGGGTTTTAGCGAAACGTGTTTTGGCCAAGTGACTTCCTCTCTAACGAGGCCTGATAGTACAACTAGTATACTACTGTTTTTCTACTACAAAGCATCCCCGGTTCAATTCCGGGTCAGGCCACTCAAGGAAGAGCGACGATCTTTTTTGCTTCCTCTTTTTGTGCGATGTGCGGTATCAGCACCCACTCATTCGTGCGCCGTGTTTGGGGATTGACGTGTTGATCGTCCGCAATCGGCAATTTGGAATCTTCATATTGTTTTTACATGATGAACTTGTTGAGGGCTGGTGAAATGCGTAGGTATTAAATACTGACGTGAACATGGACAGGATCAGCGTACAGTGGAGAATCCCAACTTAGTCAATCAAGTTCAACGAGGGGAGCGGGTTTCCCGCCCGCATTTTACTGCATTTTGGCCGTCCTTTCAATCAAGTCTGACACTTTCGGGCATTCCTCTCCATGTTTATCAGACGCGTACAACTTGATAGTACTTGGACATTGATATGCGCTGTGTTCATCACAAGACAATTTGACAGAGGCAATCAAAAGGGTGAAAGGGGAGTCCATCATGGTGAAGACTGTAAGTGCTTGGCCTTGAACTGCCCAAGCACCGCCAAGCACGCTTAGGTATCCAAAGCTATCTGCAATTGACGGCGCCAACCAACCGATGATCGTTGAAACAATATGGCCCAGTCAATATTGCATTCAATATGCCCAGACCAATCTCGCAATTGATAGGTTTCTCTATTTCCATGATCTACTCTCTTGCCCCCAACCACCTTATCGCCGCCATACAGCCCCCTCACGGGTTCAGATTTACCAACTTGCCAGAGTTCTTCAACAAATTGTTCCGTTCGTAATCACCAGTCCCAAGAATGTTGTGCGGGAAGCCCAAATCCAAAGGATTCAACGCCTCTAACTTCGCCGCATGCTCGTCAGTGAACTTGCCGCTGTGGATCAAGTCAAGTGCTATGATGTTCTCTTCAAGATGGGAGGCTTTCCGGCCACCGAGGATGGGGAACGTGCGAAGGTATTTATGGATGGTATAAGCAATCGCGACTAGTGGTAATGTCAATGGTGTTGTCAGTTTTGCAAAGCATGAAATGGTGGACGGGGATCCGTTATACCTTGAGCCCTAGTAGCTCCCAAGCTCTCCGCAACCTCGTCCAACCCCTTAATCGTCTCCTCATGATTCGGCATTTTAGTGAATAACCTACCCCCTCCCTAGCAGATTTCTCATCCTTCTTGTACCTCCCGCCACCCATGACCCTCCATGGCGCCAAAGAGAGCCCAAACTGCTTCGCCATAGGAATGATGTCACGCTCGAAGTCACATTCCTCAAAGTTCCATTTGCCTTGATAGACGACAAAAGGAGCAAGGTTGAACGCTTGAGCATAGGTGTTGGCGGCAGCGACGACCCAGGCGGGCGCATCCGAGATGCCGAGGTAGAGGACTTTGCCGGATTGGACTAGTTGGTTCAAGGATTGCATTACTTCTGGGACGCTGGTCTGTAGGATATGGGGAGGTCTAAGTTAATGGAGTGTTCCACTCTGCTCATTGGAGGGACACGTACCGTGTATTCCCACCAGTGCACGTACAACACGTCGATGTAGGTGGTCTTGAGGTTCTTCATAGATCGTTCAACAGAAGTCCTCAAACTCTTTCTGTGGTTTCCGGCATGGTTGATGTGGATGTGACCATTCGGCGTTATCAGGGTTGTGTACTTTGTTGCAATGACGATCTGCAACCCCCGGAAAGAATTACTCAATGAAATGCACCGCATGCATATCCCGCCGTTTAGATGCAAACTGACCTCATCTCTGTTATTTCTAGCCTCCATCCACTCGCCAATCCATTGTTCAGACTCGCCGAATTGGTATGCACTCGCGGTGTCGATGAAATTCCCACCAGCTACTCAGAGGGAAATAATAAATGTGTATTATTGAAGTGCCGCAGACACCACTGCACAATTCAGTCATGAACGAACCTTCGTAAAAAGTATCCATGATCTTGAACGCCTCCTCTTTAGAACACTCTCCCAGAGCCGCTTTGTCCTTTTCGCCAAAGTTCATGGCACCAAGGCATAGAGGACTCACGCGCACGCCCGCGTGCGGGGAGAGAACTTTGTAGTGGCCAAGGAGCGTCTTGGGAGGTGGAGCTACCTGCATCGGTTCCGGTAGAATGAATGAATGATGTGAAAAGGCAAAAGTTGGTCGAACAAGATCGTCAGAGGAGGTGTGAAGGACTGCTTGCTACTTATGTACGATTGTGGATGCCAGTGGGTGACATAGAAACGCGCAGACATGGGTCAATTTACCCAACTTCAGGGTGTCACTCGCCATTTGTTCCGAGGATTTTCCAAAAGTAGGATACCTTATCACATAGGTACCAGTCTTTTCGCGAGCGGTTGACACCGCCTGCCTGGAAAGACTATTGGATTGGATGTGCTCATGCTGTTCGCACGGTACATGGCTGCGCTCGCCCTAAAAAATGGTTCGGTGAAAGGTTAGAAGGTTTGTAGGTTTGGGCCACAGCCCACTCTTTTTGTGGAGGCGGTTGGTGGCACATTCATTGATGTGGCGGTGGCAGTGTCTGGTGCTTCGACAGGTCTCGTCTGATTGATGATTGATTGATTCGGAGTCTGGTTCGCCAAAGCTTTCGCTGCAACGGACCCAAAATTACCAATAAACAACGAATTTTTTGTATGTCATGCAAAATCAAGCATGCACTCCAAACGTCTCATGATCACAGCGATATGATCTGATATACATTCTTGAAGAAAAGCACTTACAAACAGTGCATTATACAATGAGGCCTGTTAAGCGGTCAACGCCCTGATTAAAACCTGAAGGAGCAACACCAGCTCAACTTCATTCCTCATATGTCGGCAATTGCACATCCCCATCAGTGTGCATAACCTCCGCCAACGCCCTGCCAAGCGCTTCCTCCCCGATTGAAGCCACAACATCCTCCCTAGTCAAGTCCATCACCACGGCCGGCGTCGACAGCTTAATTTTCTCCCCACTACTCAGCGTTACGCTACATTTCAATGTATGCAGAATAGAGTATGGTTCCTTTGGCGTTCCCGACGTGTCGAGCGGGGCGGTCGACGAAGGGTACGTTTGGGCAAGGTATGGTAGCTTATCGCCAGGAATTTGAATGGAAAATGTATGTTCCGCCGCTGTAGGCACGAGCTGCTCAGACAGGATGGTCTTCTTGACAGATTTTGTGATGCGGTATCCCATTTGACTCCGCGCGTACATAGCCATATCTGCATTACCTATGGACGTGCTGCGGATGATGTAGTGTTGGATGAGTTTGACGCTGAGTTTTTGGACGGGGGCGGTGGTTGATAGGAACGTTATTTGGAATGGGTGGTTGCGGTGGAATATGAGGGTAGGGAACGCGAGCGTGAAGGGTGTTGGATCTTTGGTGGCGCCTGAGGGGAGGTTGGATGGGCCGTCTGAGTACCAGCCGGCATTCCCGTGGACGGTGGAGGAGTTGAGGAGGTAATTGCGGACCAGCGGAATGCGGAGATCGACCGTTTGTACCAAAGGCAGGTCAAGCCGAAAGTATGTAGGTGCAGTTTCAGATGAGACCAATTGTTTGAAGAAGGACTTGGACTCCAATTTGCGAGCGGTGGCGACTGCCTCTAAGGTGTACGTAGTGTCGCCCTTGTGCATATCTTCATGGAATTTGATAGTTGGAGGAAGAGTTATATTTGCAGCTTTTAGCAACCCTATTGCGGGAAATGTTGATGAAAGGTCAGGATATGTGCGCGCATGGCACTTGTCCCACCTCCATTGCTCAAGACTTACATGGAATAGTAAAACTGAACTCCATTTCTTTGACTTCCTTGCCTTCAAGTGTTAGGACGCCTTCCATATTCTGCTTCTGCTGACACCATATGATGTTCCACGGTTTGACAGCTCTGATGCTGTCCCCAGTAATGCCCACAGCAGCCTTTGCTGCGAATTTGGCCGCAGATGCGGCACTTTTTCCCGGGGTGCCTGCTACCCGACTGCATTTGCCAGTGGAGTGGGCACTGAATTTGACGACGCGGTCGGATATTTGCACTGGCTTGACGCTGTGGTTCTCAATGCGGAGAGCTCCTCGCATCGTTAATGGGGTGAGATTGGGAATACCGCTGATGAAGGAGGTGGTGCCGGGCAGGAGGTGGAGGGATAAGGTGATGGTCATTGTTGGTGATTACTGTACACTGATTAACGTTGGTTACTTGAATTATGATTGGAGGAGGAGCTCTTTCGCGTATCTGAAGATGTACAAGCTGATTTTGAAAACGGACATCGCAATTCTTTTACATGGGTATGGCATAAATGCTCGCAGCGCGGCAAGCATTGCAAAATCCGGGCGGGCTACCAAAACCGGACAAATCTGGCGCTGCGCAGTTTGTGTTACAGTGGGCGAATGGACGCCAAGTCCGAAATCCTCACCGCCCCTTGTTGCACAGACTTGAAGGGGATGTCCCAATTTCAACCAAAGCAGCAATGTTTACAAAAGTCATCAAACTGATCGCTAATCTTCGCTATTCTGATTGAGCTTTGCTTCATGACTTCCTCCCAAAAAAGTCAAAAATGGTATTTCTACTTCACTCTTCTTTGCTAAATGTTGACGAAAAAAGCCATAGATATTCAAATTCAGCTGCGCCCTACATGACACGTTAACACTAGTACCCTGCGAGCTCATCACTCGCATCCTCCTCTCCCAACCACCCGAAGTCGCTCACCCCCTCGGCGCCATTCTCGCGGTCAGATACGGCCACCCAGACCTTCGGGATAAACTCCTCTCCACCTCCCATACCGCCTCCATAGAAAATGCTTGCAAGAATGGAAAACTGGAATTGTTGGAATGGTGGAAGGCAAAGGCCGAAGTGAGACCTGTCAATTGGTCTGAAACGACCATGGATTTGGCCAGCGAGTATGGCCAGCTCACTGTGTTGGACTGGTGGAAGTCGAGTGGGTTGGAGACGGAATGGAGTCATAAGGCGATTGATTGAGCGAGTCGGAGAGGGCATATCCCTGTCTGAGAGTGGTGGAAGCAATCGGGGTCAATGTTGCGCTTTTCGGATGCGGCGATGGACCAGGCGAGTGGGGACGGGAGC